GGGAATTATTTTGCTGAGAAGCAGTATGGACCTGATTTGCCTGCAGGGAACATCGGATGTGTCTCCTAGTTAGCTCTCTGTTATTTCACAAAATTTTGGGCATTAGTGATGCCTTAACCTCGCTTGCTTTCTGCCAAGGCAACCTCATGTAGCCTCCTGAGGACTGAAATGTTCTAGTCTGCTGAAAACCTTTCTGTCTACACATGCAGTGGAAATCAAAAAGTTTGTCCTGTATAGCTGTCTGTAATTTAGATGGCCTAACATTTGTCTTAGGCATTATGAAACTATAAAAAAGAATAAAGTGAAGAGTGTCCCAAGTTTTATTCTCTTTCACCATTTATTCTTAGACCCTTGTGTGCAGCTGTGAAATACAGAGCAGCGCGTTATTGATTTTTCTGATGTGACCCAGGAAACTTATGAGTAATAAAGCGAGTAAAAGTAGCATTCATGGGCGTATGAAATCCAAACATTGAAGATAAGGGAGTGATAGGATAAGAAAATTGTGCCCCTGCTTTGCCCTGTACTTTCCTTATCTGCTGCTAGCAGCGGTCAGAAGAACGAAGGGTGGATAGCAAAGCATGATCTCCCATGACAAGAGATGGAGACTGTAGTGGGTGAAAAGAAGTTGGAAAAAAAGTCCTGTTCTCCATTCTGTATGTTCTGTTCTCAGTGATCAGATGTTCTGAATTGTTTGGATTTGTTAGCAAAGTCCAGGGACGGCGTTTTTACTGGTTTCTTAACTTCCCTGTGAACTAGTGGAAGGGAGGGAATGTGTCATCAGAAGGGTCTTGGCCTCTTTGCACTGACACCTTTCCCAGATTTTAGTATTACTGTTCAGGTGTTGACTTAACTCTTCAGGTATTGTTGGTTGAAATTACTCTGAAATGAAAAATGTGCAAAGAAGGATGAAACTGTTGGGATAAGAGAAAAAATTGGCAAGAGAACGCGACTATCCATGTGGAGTGGAAGCAGTAACGAACAGAATTGGAAAAGAAAGCAGACGCTGGTTAGTGTTGGAAAAGATGAGCCATCTATTAAGTGATAGATTTAGTGCAAGAAAAATACCTCTGTTTCATTCAGGTTCATGAATATTGTTGTGAGGACATAAAATATAGAGCTACTTTAATTCTTTAATTTTTAGGGAGGCAGCAGTGAATTTTCATTCTGATATACTCTCACTCACTTTCATACTGGGTGTGTTCCTCCAGGTTTTTGTGAAGTGGTGGAAAAACTCAAATATAATTACAGCCCAATGTTTCTACAGTAAACATCTAAAATAAACAGTCTTTACCCAAACAGCCTATAGTCACCTGTTTTGTTTTGTCAAATTGTTTTTCCCCTCCTTAGGCAATTCATTTGGGTGCTGTAAGTGTGAACACTTACTGACCTACGTTTACCACAATACAAGCTGTTTCTGAATTCAAAATGCAGTTCAGAAATTGCTACAAAAATGCTGCAGTCCTGGGATGTTGAAAAGAAATACTGAAGTGCCCAAAGAACAGGCTAATAAAGAAAAAAAAACATTAAGGCATAAGGAAGATGACAAGAGTCACTTATTTACTGAGTACATGGTTACCACTGTGTTGCTTTCTGTTTGTCTTTGAAGCGTGACTGTTATAAATCTCTTGTACCACAGCTATGTAGCTCTTTTCCCTCTGTGGGCTTTCTTGGGTACAGTGCTGACTTAAGAGTTCTGAAAACTGATAAAACTGAAATAAATGAGTCATCGTTATAATTCATTAGTCTTGATACTTGTTGACTTTAACTCCTGCTTACCTGTTCCTTTTTTTGATGTAATGAAGCACTGTGATACATCATTTGCAGCCTTGATTACGGCACGTCTTCTTCACATTTGTTACTTTCACTAAGGTGCACCTTTCCTGATTACAGTTGCCCAGTTTGTTGTTGTTGGTTTTTTTTCCTTGTTTTCCATGGCTTTGAACGAGGGATCTAGACTCTGGGGTTTTGTTTTCTCCCAGAAGGTGAGAAAAACTACACATCCCCAGGTGAAAACTGGGTAGAAGCTATTTGGGTTTGGCTGTAATGGTGTAATTTGCTGTAGTTGGGATTTTGGTGTTTCCTTTCACTGCTAGGTAAAGTGGCCTAAGTTGAAGAAGGTACTGTTATTCTAAAACACGGCTTGTGAGCATGCTGGTTGTATGACTACAGTGGTATATTCTATACTGGTAATGCTACCTGTATAGATCATTCTTAATCTTTCTGGCCTGCCTTCTGGCTGAGCAATGCTCTTGATTCTACTGCTTCCTGTCAATCATTCACTCATATATATATATATATATGTGTGTGTGTGTGTGTGTATAAAATAATTCAGCGAAGACTAAGCATGTTGCTCAAAAAGTGAACTTACAGCCCAGAGTATAATGAATGGGTTTTTATTCTCCACAGTGGAAAAGCTAGAAAGAAGTTGAGGCCGCCGTGAATCTGCAGGAATTTTAGAAGCCCAGTGATGGCTACCGGATCTGTAGAAGGTCTAGCCTTAGAATATGTTAACAAATTATTATCTGTAATTGGATTGCATAGAAGTTAGGTAAAATATTTTAATACGGAAGCATAATTCTAAGTGTTCCTAAAATATTATAAAAGAAAACTGAATTAATTTGAAAAGCTGTAACAGCTCAAACTAGTGTCCATTACTTCTGCAGGTTGCTGTATCTCACAAACGTTTAGAGGGCTGTTGTGGTGTGTGGAGACTTTGTAGGTGGCTGATTTCATGCAGATGATTCCTGATTTGGGAAGTGCAGGAGGATAATAGACATGGAGGAGTAGAGACTGTCTGAGTTTAACAGTAGCTCATTCAAGGGAGAGCACGGTGAACTCCTTTTCTTTTTCTCTCTCTTTTTTTTTTTTTTTTTTTTCCCCCCTATCTGTGGAGAACACTGAGAAGCTGTTTTAAAGATGGGGAACTTTCGTTTTACTTGCTGATTAAATTGACTACTGCTGTTACTGGATTTCTGCAGGCTATATGGACAAGAGTGTTACTTTCTATGCTTTGTTGCTTATTTTGAGATGGATTTCAGTTTCTCACATATCAGCAGAATATAATAGTACTGAGGTAGATCTTAATGGAGAAAGTGTCTGTTTCTAGTTGCATTTGAGAAGGATACCCCCATAGAAGGTATGGATATTGGAGTGCTGGAGCATGTCCAAAGAAGGGCAACAAAGTTGGTGAAGGGTCTAGAGCACAAGTCTTAGAGGAGTGGCTGAGGGAGCTGGGGTTGTTTAGTCTGGAGAAGAGGAGGCTGAGGGGAGACCTCATCGCTCTCTACAACTACCTGAAAGGAGGTTGTAGCGAGGTGGGGGTCGGTCTCTTCTCCCAAGTAACAAGTGATAGGACAAGAGGAAACGGCCTCAAGCTGCGCCAGGGGAGGTTTAGGTTGGATATTAGGAAAAACTTCTTCACCAAAAGGGCAGTCAGGCACCGGCACAGGCTGCCCAGGGAGGTGGTTGAGCCTCCATCCCTGGAGGTATTTAAAAGAAGGGTAGATGTGGTGCTTAGGGACATGGTTTAGTGGTGGACTTGGCAGTGATAGGTCAACGATTGGACTTGATGATCTTAAGGGTCTTTTCCAACCCAAACGATTCTATGATTGTAATAGATGTTAGTTATTTTGCTTTATTTTTAAATGGCTAGGAAAGTGCGTAACTTGTAAAGCTTTTACAAAATTTCAGGCGCTGTAGTGGTTCTCTGAGCATTAAAATAAAACCTTGTTCAAATAGACATTTGAATACCTTGTATGCTGCTGATAGTCATGTGAAGAAGAGTAGAGATTTTGAGGTTAATCACTATGTGCGTGTGCATTGCGTGCCTGTGATAAAAAGCCACACTTCTGAAAACTCGGTAGCTGGGTTGGTCTTTGTTTGGAACTCTGTTTTGCCAACATAATGCCAGGCTGTTGTGTTTTGAGGTTCTAAACCCTTTTTCCCTGGTAGTCTGAGTTCTGCAACCCTTAACTGGCCAAACCAGTTTTTGCTCTACAGAAGCAAGTGGTTTAGGTCCTTATTGTTTTTGAGAAGAGAAGAAAACCAAACAAAACACACAAGCAAAAGCCCCAAGCCAGCATTCTTAGTCCAGTTTCACCTTTGAACCAAACTTGCTTCCTAGATTTTTGGCTATTCCTGTGGATATGTGGCTGTTACATGCGACAGCTCAGTGTCTGTAATGCCTAACCCTGAAGAGCTGATCAGAGAGAACACCCTTCAGCTGACATCTTCCTATCCTTAATGAATTAGTTTTGGTTGTTTTCACTATAAAATGTGTACATTGATGTTTCATTTTACATCTTTAGTCATACAGTTTTTCTTAGAGTAATTCTGAGTAATGACTTAGTAAGCCCTGTGTGAAAAAGCTTATCGGATTTGATGCTCATTTATTGCACAAACCAGATTACTAGTGCCTACGTCATGTTCTTCATGATGTTCTTCACTCAGCATATTTATTCCAGCATATTTAAGAATTACAAGCTAGAAATTGGAAGTTAATACTGGAAATAGAAATACTATTACTAACGTATGCCATGACTGTCTTTGATGTTTTGGACCGAAATCAGCTTGGAAAGAAAGCATTCAGAATCTGATGAGTAAGTCCTTACAGCTGCCAATAAATTCATGTGAAGATGAAGTATATTCATGCAACATTAAAAAGCTTTTGCCAGTGGTGTTAAAGTTAACTAACACAAATGGTTAGAGTACGGACTTCAAGGAAGTGGCTGCTATTAGAGGGGTTCTGCTTGGAAGTCTCATCTGAAAACGAGTGTCCCTCCACATTGGGTACTGTATAAACATGCAGTAACACAGTCTTTGCTACAAAGAATACACTGCCTTAACATAAACATTTCCCATACTGATTTTACCCCAAAATAACCACTGCTGCTTATCCTCCGTTTCTTCGTATTTCACCCATGAAGTGAGGTTGAGACTTCGGGACAGGAGTGTTAATGAGTTACATTTTCATCATGGAAGACGCTTCTTATTATTTGAACCAAAAATGCATTTGAAAGCATTGCCACAAGATTTATGATCTTTGAGTTGAAAGAGGAAGACCAGGTTTTTCCTATCAGTTAGAGAAGAAATGTTCTCTGAATTACTCTCTCAAGTGTTCATCAGCTTTATCAGATACCTGTGCCAGTGTCTCTGGACTCTTCTTTCTGGCATATCCCAATAAATTGAAGAAAATTACCAAACACTTTGATTTTGATTCTTGTCATGGAATTGCTTTTTTCAGCTTTACTGTGGAAATTGTTCTCTGGTGTTTTTTTTTTTTTTTTTTTTTTTTTTTTAATATCAGTGCAGCTATTTTCAGGAAATAGTTGGAAAATTGATTGTTAGTTTCAAATAATAGTTATTCTCACTCTTCAGTTCTTAATCATTTGGCAGTAGGCAATTATTGGATAATTGTACAAGCTGTTTGTTCCTTTTCTTTTATATTGGATGAAGGTTAGAAATTGGACAGAAGAAGATCCATCTGTACTGCTATCTGGTTGCTGTGGAGAAGCCTCAGCTCTCCTGTGTTACATGTAGCCTTTTGTGAACATCTGTAGATGTTTTTAATTCCTCAGCTGACTGTTTTGGTGGAAAAGGGAAATGGTTTTGACCTAACTGGCAGCAAGAACAAGAAAATACCGATGTTTGAGAAACAAGGCACAACTGAGGCTTCATTAACTGTGATAAGGTTTGGCAATTTTTGACAAATATGTGCCAACAAATATGATGCTTGGAGGGGTTTGTGTTTTTACAGTGTTACTGCTAATAAAATAGCCCTATAGATTTAGAAAAAAAGCAAAGCCTCAGCTTTAAGATCAGTCCTTCTTTTTAAAGAAAATACACATTATTCTGTCTTGATCTCCTAGCTCTTGCAGAGCTCTTTTCAAAGTGTTTTTGCAGTTCATATTCTAAAATATTTTTTAAAATGTCTTTTCTAATAATTATAGTTGTTGAAAATAGGGCCATAAGATGGGAGAATAGGAATGCTGCTCAACGCACCTTGTTCACTGGCCTTGTCAGACAGAGAAGGAAGCATGTGCGATAATTTTGTTTCTGTGGTAGAGTGGTGGACCAAAAATGGCTATAGACAGGGGGACAAGTAATGCTGGCATCTTGCAGCTCAGAAAAACTGAATTCCATGGAGGAAACATACCATGGTGTGGCAAAATGGGGAAAACCCCCTAAATCTCTGCCTGCAGAATCATTGTCTCCACAGGTTCTTGACTGTTACCTATGAAGCATCTTGCATCTTAAAACTGTTGTTTTCAGCTCTGCGCATCAGGTAGGCTTCAGTGCTTCTGCATATATTTTGGTGACCTTTTTCCAAAGCCTATTTCATCAGCAATAAAAACTAAAGTGCTGCCTTTTTATTTTTTAATGAACAACTTTAAAAAACCAAAAACAAACAAAAAACTAAACACCAAACAAACTCAAAAAAAAACCCCACACAAAACCAACCAGACAAACCAAAACAAACCCACATTGGCTTTCATTCATCAAAAGCATGTTATTGAGGTCACAGGCATTCATTGCAATTAACAGGTTTTAATACTACTTTTTGTCTTCTGATCAGAGAAGATATGTTAAAAATAAGAAAATAAAGATGCACAAAGAGGGTAACTTCCAAAGAGTTTGTGGGGGTCTTTGGCAGAAGGGAGAGTAAAATGGTGTTTTCCTGAATCTTAATTTGCTGCTCCACCTGCCAGACCACTGTTTCTCTTGTAGGGTGATTTATTGTCCCTGGTGTGCTTCTGAGTGCCTCTCAGTGCCTTGCTAGAGCTAGTAAGCAAAACTTTATACAGTAGTATTGCTACTTCTAAGTGGATTGTAGTCTGTGTGAGCCACTGTGATTAATTTTTGCCATCCAGTTAGGAATTATCTATATCAGTAAAATTTCCTTGCTGCTTTGGCTGCTTTTCTGAATGAGGCAAATGCCTTCTGTGCTGTGAAGTAGCAGGATTCTGCAGGGCTTGGCTGCAACAGTTGGCTTTTGATATTAAAATATAGCTGATATGAAGGGGAAGCTTAGCCCAAAATTTGAATTAGTGGATGAAAATTGCACAGCAGTATATTAAAAATTAGTTTCATAGGAGAAATAGTCTTTTCTTCTATATTTCTTTTTAACATGGACTTAAAAAGTTTCTTTAATGGTTTATTAAAGATGCTGCCTATGTCGGAAGGTTGGCGATTTCTAGCTGTTCAAATCAAATGTTTTGCCAGAAATTCTTCTTGATGATGAAAAATCCTTGTAGCAGTCAGTGACCTTTTTCTGCTTTTCTTTTGCTTTATGTAAGGACTTGATCTCTCAAACACTTTTTTCCCAAGAAACTATTTTGGTTTTACAAATGTGTGGTATAAATTACATTTAAACTTTTAAAAGACTAAAATAAATGTATTTTTAAAAGTTTTATTATAAACTTTCTATTGACTTTTACATAGGTCATGCAAATGGGAAAATTTTTATGTAGATAGTTTAATGCAGTTAACGGTATAATGGATTTGCATTTTATGTAGGTACTCCAAACATTGAAACTGTGAATTCATGCTCATGTTTTACTGTTAATTTGGCACGAAGTGTGCCTGTAAACTGCACTGGCTGTACGACTGGTCTTGCACCAAAATAGTGGATTTAAGTTTTAATTGCTACAGTACATACAGCAGGTTTTTTAATAGCTTAGTATGTCTAAGTGGTATTTAACAGACACCTACGTTAATCATTGCTGAATAACCAGTGCTGATAATTTGCATTATCATTGTAAGTTTTTTTTTTTTTTTTTTTTTATTCTTATGTGCACATAACTTTCCATTACACATTGCTCTCTGTATGGGACTTTGAGGTCTTACTGTCATTATAAGCTGAGCTGTTGGTATGACCTGTACCTGAGGAGGTAAAAAATTGAGTTTGTTTTCATATACATGTGCTAGATTGTAACTATTCAGGGTGAAACTTGTCATTCCGTGCATCTACATCAGAACGTTTTTCCCCTAGGAAGTCTCAGCTGTAAGTGGATCAGGGTGTTTTTCCCTCCATAAAACTGGAGCTGCTTATTGGAGCAGGTTTTATGACTTTTGGGAGACAAGTTAGAATTTGGTTTGAAGAATGAATCATGCTGTTTTTGGGAATGCGTAGTCTTTTTCTTTGTGGGTGTTCTGCTCACATCTGACCAAGTCATGAGGTGTTTAAAAGTTGTATTTTGCCCACACTCACTGTTGTGGTTTAACCTGGGGCAGCAACTGAGCACCACACAGCTGCTCGCTCACTCTTCCCCACTCCAGTGGGATGGGGGAGAGAATCAGAAGAGTAAAAGCAACTCGTGGGTTGAGAAAAGAACAGTTTAATAATTGAAATAAAGTAAAATAGTAGCAGTAGTAATAGTAGTAGTAATAATATGCAAAGCAAGTGATGTATGATGCAATTGCTCACCCCCTGCTGACCGATGCCCAGTCTGTCCCTGAGCAGTGGTCCTGCCTCCCAGCCAGCTCCCCCCAGTTCATACACTGAGCATGACGTCATATGGTACGTAGTAGCCCTTTGGCCAGTCGGGGTCAGCTGTGCTGGCTGTGCCCCCTCCCAGCTTCTTGTGCACCGGGCAGAGCATGGGAAGCTGAAAAGTCCTTGACTAGCATAAACTCGGCAACAACTAAAACATCAGTGTGTTATCAACATTATTCTCATCCTAAATCCAAAACACAGCACTGTACCAGCTACTAGGAAGAAAATTAACTCTATCCCAGCTGAAATCAGGACACTCACAATGTTATAAGAGCTTGACATAAGTTTTCAAAAGGTATGCAAGTATACCACTCTCAGATATTGAAGTTGTTGTATATAACATTTGCCAACAAAATAATTGCTTGGTTAAGCGCCTGGTTTCTGTGGAAGCTTTCGTGATGGTGATGTCCAGCTCTGTCCTTGTTCCTGCTTGCTTGCTATCTGAATGGCTGTTCAGTTTGTCTTCTAGGAAGCTGGATAATTTTTGTGCTCTATTTCAAGGCAACTTGTGTATCTTCAGTTCTTCATGTATCTCAGTGTGTGGATACAGTGGAGCTGTATGTCAGCTCCACGCTGGTCAATGTGGGTAAAGATGGGAGATGTAATTAGGAAAGGGGTGAATGTTAAATTTTGTCTTTGTTTACTGCAGTAAGTAGTGCAGTACAGGAGGAGTGTTTCTGTGGAATGAAGTGGTTGGCATTGCGGATCCAACATTGATGCTATAATAATTTTGGGAAATACTGCTTTTGCCTAGGTCAGTCCATGGGCTAAATATCTGCTTACCTTTGGAGCAGATCTTCTAGTTCGGTTTAGCTTAAAAGACATCAGACATTTGTGTTTTCGGACACCATTGTAGAACGCATGCCAAAGCATCTGAAGTGCGGACGACGGGGAGGTTGTTCTGTTAAAAGTACTGACTGAAAAACTAGGTATTGAGTCTGAAATTGGGCAACCGAAGTTAGCGGGCATTTATTTTACGCTTTGGGCTTTCATCATTGCGTACCAGTCACTCACCTTTAGAACAGGAATAAGAGTAACGCTCTCACAAAGTTATTGCAAAGTTTACATTTATTTTATGTAGTCTTCCCATGTTATGGACAGAACTGCAGAAACATGTCTTTGGGGAAATGTAAGGGTTTTGTATTCAGTGTAGGATGCAGATGGTAAGCATTTAATGGGTCATAAGATGAAGGCAAAAACTGGGCAATTGTCCATTTGCTGAATGAAGCAGAAATCCTGCTGCGAAAAATGGAATAAAGCAGCAGAAAGAATATTATCAGAAGTGGTATGTAGAAGGGCTCAACTGAAGTTGCATGGCTTTCAAATCTTAACTGCTGCATAGCTTGGTTTTACAAATATGTATTTAAAGCTTTGGGAGGATTTGATGTAATACAAGTCCGCAAAACCATTGGTGCTTTGTAATCTGCGTTTTGGTGCGCTGCAAGGCAAGCGTAAGGATTGGATTGGGAAGAGTAAAGAAGGAATGCAGGGTCGTGTGTGAACATTGTGGTGATGTCTTTTATGTATGCAAGTATGCATATGTTTGTGCACTTTTTGGGAAGAGCAGTTTAAAAATACCCCCTGGTAGTTTTGGAGTCACTTGGGAGGAAGGCTTTTGGAACAAGATGGTGTTGCTTGAGTCAGTTGTGTGTTCAAAACACCAACGTCATGAACTGACATCCCTGGAAGGTTTGCTTGTGGGGTTGGTCTAAAGGTATGATAGCCTGCATTTTATTGCTGTTCTCAAAATATTCTTATTGAGGGAGGTGTTTTGGTGTGGGTTTTTTTTTTTATTTCTGGGGTTTTGTTTGTTTGTTTAATGGGATACTGTTTTTCAGATATGTATTTGGTCATTTGAGTAAATAGCTAAAGCAAGAGCAAGTGCCCAGGAAAGGAGTCGGCAGGTAGGCAGCGAAGAGAGGGCACCTTTCTCAGATTCTCTTTGCATGTTTTGTATGAGGATTTTCTACTTTCCTAAACCTGCAGGCTCACCCTGATTTGTGAAATTCAAGATTTGTTGTTTTTTCTGCTTCTGCAGAAATGATGATACAGGTCAGAGATGCCAAGCACTTCTGCCCTTTGCCATGGCAATAGTAGGAGCCAGGTGATGACTTTTCTTCTTCCCTGGGTCTTGCTAGCTTGCTCTGGGGGGTAATCTGAAAAAGAAGGGCATCATGAGACACTAATTGGCAAATCATCTGTAATGCAGCCAAAGCAGTGGTGTCTGGACATTCAGTACAACCAGCAATGATAACTTGTCACTGTGCTATCACTTACGGACAGGTATTCATGCCCATTTCTTCCCCCTGTCTCTTCACCTCAGCTTCACTGCATATTTGTCCCAATTTTCTCCTCTGTCTCCCTCCCCCTTCTGGTCTGTCTAGGGTGCGAGTGCCTTGGATCAGAAACATGCTCTGTGGTATACATAGCATAATTTCTGTAATAAATATCCAAAACAAATGTCAATACTGAATTCATAGTTAATTATTTTAGCTTTAATTTTTCTTTCTTGCCCTCTGTTTTAAAACATTATCTGTTTGTTTCCCTTTCAGTGGTTCATTAAACTTGGCTGTTTTGTATGAAACTTTTCCACTAAATCCACAGACTCATCCTGAGTTATAAACCTCGCTCTGTTTCATTTGCATCATTGCTTATGAAGGAGAGAAAACAGGTCGAGTTATGCCCTGAAAGAATATCTCCTCATTAATTTAGAATTTTCCAAATACTGTTAAAAGCATGATGTAAATGTGGGAGTAAGAGAATGGATGGCAAAGGCTACGTGATGGTTTAGTGTAGG